AGAGAAGCCAGAGCTGGGTGGCGGGCTCTCAGAGGGGCCCCCTCCGCATGTGCGGTGCTGGAGCATCCCTGTAAAGAACGTGGGCGGCACCTGACTTTGATCTCTAAGTGCCACGGGGACCCTCAGTGTGGAGGGGGGCTCTGGGCACCGTGAGGAGGACCCAGTGCCCACTGGCCTGAGCTTGACCCCTTCAGTCTGGCTGCCCTGGGGGGTGATATGACCCTAGGGGACCCTGGGACCACCAGGGCTAGGGGAAGCCCGGATTGGGGGGGTGCTTTCCATATCTTGGCTTAAAGAAGGGAGATTTCCAGGGGGACACCGAGTGATTTTTTTTTCTAAAAAAGGGGTCAATACTTTGAGGCCAGTCGCACACGCTAGGGGAAAAGGCAGCTCAGATAGAGAAGGGAGCACCAAATAAAGGGTATTGGGAGGATCCTCCTAGGATGGGAGAAGCATGCTGAAAGTAGACTACAGACCGAATATGATTGCCACTCAATGCCTCTTTTGCAAACCACAACACCCAAAAGGAGAGAGAGAACAAAAGGGAGTGCCCTGCCACAGAGGCAGGGTGGGATGGGGGAAATGGGGGGTGGGAGGGATACTGGGCCCCGTGATGGTGGGAAATGGGCACTGCTGAAGGGATGGGTGTTTGATCATTATATAACTGAAACCCAAGCACAAAAATTTGTAAGTCTACAACTGTATCTCATGGTGTTTCACTAATAAAAATTTAAGGAAAAAAAATAAAAAGGGGCCAATAGCCCAAATAAGCTCGGGAACCCCTGTGCTTGGGAGCCTCTGAGCACCATGTCTGCCCCCCACTTAATTATCCCAGGTAGGTGGAGTGTGAGGGGAACAGGCATCCCCATGTGTGGGCCAGGCTAAAGCACCATAATACTTAAACCGTAAATTAAGAGCACGGTCACGGACAAATTCTGTCATGATCCAAAGAGTAATAACTAGATTTGAACGCTGCTGGGGTTAGGAATGATCATCGGCCTGAGCACTGTAGTCTGAGTCTGTGGTGAGATGTCCTCAAGAGATTCGCCCCCCCCAGCCTAAATGTGTCTATCACTGTGTCCATACAGAATGGCAAATATTAGGAAGTAGAATTAAGGTGGTAATTAAGTTACTGGGTTAAGGAGAGGAGAAAAACAATATTTACAAGTCAACAGAGTCTGATCAGGAGGCACAGGTAATTGACAGGTTGGGGAGCAATCAACAAACCCAAGCTCCCTGTGGCCAGGGGCGAAGGGCCAACCCACACTGTCCTACACCCCTGGTGTCGAGGAGCCCCACTGCCCGCCCTGGTGCTCGCTGGGGTGGGTGGCGGGCCGTGGGCCGCTGGGGCGGGAGTGGGTGCCAGCGAGAAGTGGGATGGACTCACGCTCGCAAGGTAGGTGCCCCGCCCCAGCCCGCCCTCAGCCCCCCAAAACTTTACCAGTCTCAGAAAATCTACTTGGCTGTGAAACAAGTCTTGAAAAAAACCGGAGAGGATTTCAGTTCACTTCTGTTTCCAAGCATGCGGTTTGTTGTTAGTATTGTGGGGGTTTGGACCACGGCTGGCGGGGCTCAGGGCGAGACTTGGGGGACCATGTGAGGTGCTGGGGGTGAAACCGGGGTCAGCCAGTGCAAGGCGACCGCCTTCTCTGACCCAAGAGCAGAGGCTGCTGTAATTCCTTTTTTTTTTTGCTTTTTGGGTCACACCCGGCAATGCACAGGGGTTACTCCTGGCTCTGTGCTCAGGAATTACCCCTGGCGGTGCTCAGGGGGACCATATAGGATGCCAGGTTGGTTGCGTGCGAGGCAAACGCCCTCCCCACTGTACTATCGCTTCAACCCGAGTGTGACTGATCCTACCAGCACCGGGGAGGGCCGTTTCCCCTGAAGCCTGTCTCACCTGTCCGTCCAAGAAGCTTCCGGGTTCCCGTCAGTCCCACGGAGCGAACGCTCTGCTCCGGACACCCACGTTTGGAAGCAAACAATTTGCAATCTGGGCTTCTACTTTCTTTCCTTTTGGGGGACAACAGCCAACAGTGCTTGGGGGATCCCTCCTGACTGGGCCCCTTGCACTCCTGTCCACCCAGAGACCACTCCCCAACCTCTGGCTTGTGCGCTGGGAACCGCCCCGGCTTTCTGGATCTTTCCACTGTCTGAAGCCCACTCATCCCGCCCGGGAGGGGGCTGCTCCTCATCCTCGCGGCCCAGGAGTTCCAGCCATGGGGAGGCCGCAATGCGTCAGTCATTTTGTTCTTCTGTTCCACAGGGGCTATGCCCCAGTGATTCTTGGCCCAGGGTGGGGTGTGGGGGGCGTGATGGTGAGAGGCGGGGTCCTGTCGGAGCTTGGGTGCCACGCCACGCTGGGGCTGGACCCTGAGAGGCCCCCACGTCTATCCAGTCAGGCATCTGGAGTGGTCACACATCTCTGGGGCAAGGAGGTGGGGACGTGGGAAAAGGAAGGACTTAGCCATCCCGAGTCCCTGAGTCCAGGCTTCACTGCCCGCAGGGTGCAGGGGGCAGTAACAGCTTTTAACCCCCACCAGCGTCAGAGGAAAACGCCCAGATCTCCGCATAGGGACATCAGAAAGACCTGCCTGGGGAACTGCGGCGCCCCCGGGAGTGGTCAGGAGCATGAACAGCCCCAGGCACACCCTTGGGGAGTGGGGAGCCCTGAGAGGAAGCTGCCCCTCCCTGCTCAGAAGTGTGGACAGAAGGTTCTGGAAAAGCATCCTCCCTTTTGCCAGCCTGGGCTGCCCATCCGGTGATATGGCCTAGGATGTGGAGACGGAGCTGCCCCGCCCTCGGGCGACCCCCACCTGTACAAGGTCTGGGGTCCGTGGGGCGGGCATCCCTGGGGGTGACAACCTCGAAGCACCCAGGCCAGAAGAGCCCCCGCCCCAGCCCGGCAGTCCGGGGAACCGCACAGGAAGGTGGAGCGCCGGTTCCGTGACGCGAGGGAGCCTTTGACTTGAGCCCTCCAAGGTGAGCCCCTACCCCGGCCCCCAGTTTTGGGGTGCTGAGGCAGCCGGAAGCAGGTGTGGAGCAGCTTGGCACCAGGGCGGCAGCAGGGTATGCCCAGCTGGTCCCCACAGGGGCCTGAGGGAGGGGCGTCGGGGCTGCAGGGGCGCCCCTGGTCTCCCCGGAAGAGCCCCAACATCAGGCAGCTTGGGGGTGCACACGCCTGCAGGCTCTGAAGCCTCTGCCGTGGGGTGTGGAAGTCGGGGGTCGCAGCGGGGGCCTGGCACTGGGAGAGGGGGGCGGCGCTGTGCCGGGCAGGAGGAAGGGGGTGTGTCCCTGCAGGAGGAGCCGCTGGCCTCGGCCAGGCCAGGCTCCCCCGTTGGCCCGGGGCTACACCGCCCCCCTGGCTCTTCCGGGCTGGCCAGGCACCTCCGCCTCCGTCCTCGGTCCTCGGCGCGGAGAACGTGTCCGTGGGTCCGGGCCGGGCGGGGGAGGGGCGCCGCGGACTCAGCACCTCCACCCGGGGCATCCAGCCTCTGCCAGGGAGTGCCAAGGGCGCCAGTCGGGCGGGGCAGGTGGCCCCACTGACTTCCTGTGGCCCTCCCCCACCCTGTCGCGCCGCGTCTCCCCAGGACGGCTCCGGGGCTGTGCCCTCTGCCCGGCTCAGTCCGGGCCTCCCCGGGCCGACCCCCACGCCCCCGCCTTCCTTGGGCCCCACCAAGGTGACATAAACCCCCCACCCCACTCATCGGGCTGGGGGGGGTTGCCGGGGAGCAGACTGCAGCGCAGGAACCGGGGCGCAGCCGAGCTGGGGTCTGCTTCTGCGCCCCGCCGGGCCAGGCAACGCCCCCTGCCCCTCAGTGACTCCCGGAGGTGGCAGCGGCTTGGGAGTGGGCGGGCGTTCTGGCTGGGCGGGGGTCAGCCCCGGGGCCGGGGGGGCTGGCTAACCCCGGAACGCTTGGTAGGGGAGGGCTGGACTTGGGGGGGCTAGACCTGGGGCTGCGGGCACCCCGCCGCCCCCGGGGCGGACTGACGGGGTCCCCCTGTGCCCTCCGTCCACGCAGGGCACCGGGACAGTCCTGGGGAGACAGACCCGAGAGGCGTCAGAACAAAGCCCGGGTCTGTCCCGCGGCGGGCCCGAGCCCTCAGCGCCGCCGGGGTGGGGGGCTGCGGCCGGGCGGGCCCCCGGCCCACCGCGGGCCGCAGGGCGAGGAGGGGGCAGCGCCCTCGGGAGGGGACGCGCGCCCCGGGCGGGGGCCAACAGGCACCTCCCGGAGGGCGAGCGCGGCGGCCGGGCAGCCCTTCGGTGCCCACCTGCGCTTGGGGGCACGCGGGGGGCCCCGAGGCCGCGCGGGGGGGGGGTCTTCCCGGGGTCCTGCCCCAACACCGCCTCTTCTCCCTCCTCCTCCCGCCGGCCCGCAGGCTGAGCTCAGGCTCCCGCGCCGCGCGCTGCCTCGGTTTCCCCACGCGCCGCGTGGAGCCCGCACGGCTCCCACTCCCTGCGGGACGCCGTCGGGAGTGGACGCACGGGGGCCCCGAGCGCGTCCCCAGCAGGCAGGGGCTCCCGGGCAGGTGCTCGCGGCCGGGGTCGCGCGGCGGGGCGCCGGCCGGCCCCCGCGTCTCGCCGCCCCGCCGCGCGGCCCGGGCCTCCCGCGACACGGCGCCCACAACAAAGGAGCTCGCGTCCGTGGGGACACCGCCCCTCGGCGCGCCCGGGAGGCGCGGGGCAGCGCGGGGGCCGGCCGGCCGCGGCCGGGGCCGGGGCGCGAGGGGGCGCGGCGGCGGGGCCGGGGCCGGGGCGCGGGCGGGCGGCCCCGCGGGACGCGGCCGCGCGTGGAGCGCCGGAGCCCGAGCGGCGCCCGAGGGGAGCGCGGCGCCGCCGCCGCCTCCAGCGGCGATTTAAAGGGCAGCGAGGCGCGGAGGGATCCCGGCGAGGCGCCGCGCGGATCCCTCCGCCGCGAGCGCAGCGCGGCAACGGCCCGGGCGGCCCGGCGAGCTGCGCCTTTTTGTCCCTCCGCGGCCGGGCGCTCCGGCGGACTCGTTTCTTTCTCGGGTTTCTCCGCCTCCCCCCGCCCGAGTCCCGAACGAGCCACCGCGGCGGCCGCGGCGGCGCGAGCTCGCGCGGTGTCCCTCCGCCGCCGGCCGCGCACTCCTTTTCGTGTCCTTCCACCGTGCCCGGGCTGCGTCCGGGCGGCTCACCGGGGGCGGCGGCGCGGCGGCGGCGCGGGCGGCGAGGCTCCGGGGCGATGAGGTGAGGCTGCCCGGGCAGCGGAGGCGGCAGCGCGCGGCGCCAGCGAGCCGGGACGCGGAGCCCCGCGGGCGGCGGCTGCCCCTGGGCCCCCCGCGCCCGCGCCACGGCCGAGGTGAGGCCCGGGCCGCGGGGGGCGCGGGGCGCGGGGGCGCGGCGGGGGGCGCGGGGGCGCGGCGCGGTGGGGGCGGGGGGCTCGGCGGCGGCGGCGGCGGCGGCGGGGACTCCTTTTCGCCCGAGCGGAGGGAGCGGGCGGTGCTGCGTCCGCGCCGCCATCTTGGATCTCGCGCTCCATTTTTCTCGGGAATTATTTTTCGGTGATTAATTTTCCGCGGGGGCCGGCGCGGGCCGGCCGGCCGGCGGCGCGACTCCCAGCAGCGCCCCGCGCCTCGCGGCGGCGGCGGCGGCGGCGGCGGCGGCGGGGGGCGGCGGCGCGCCCCGCGGCGGCGCCGGGGGTGAGTGGCGGGGGCGGCGGGGGGCGGCGGGGGAGGGGCGCGGGCGCGCCGGGCCTGCAGTGGGCGTCGCGGCCGGAAGGGGGCGGTAGCGGCCGCGGGGCGGGCGCCGGCGCTCGCGATTGGGGGACGCGCCGCCCCGGGGCGCCAATGGGCGGCCGGGAGACGCCGGGCCCCGAGTGCGGGGCGCGGCGCCCGGGGTCCCCGCCCCCTGCCCGCGCCGGGGTCCGGGTCCGGGTCCGGGGTCCGGCGGCGACCCGGCGAGCGGCCCCGCGCGGCCCCCGCCCTCGAGCTGCCCCGGCTTCCCGGGGACCCCCGCGACCCCACGCCCCCCGGGAGCGCGCGGGGGAGAGCGAGGCGCGCCCGCCGCGCCGGCATCTCCGCGGGGTGGGGGCTCCCCGCGTGCCCGTGCGGGGGGCTGCCGGCGGGGGCGTCACTCGTCGCCTCCAGGCCGCGCGGGGTCCCCAGGACGCCCCCCGCGCAGACCCGGAGTTCGGACGGGAGCGTGGACTTGAGTTACTTTGGGGGGACTCTTTTTGGGGTGGGGGCCAGGACTCAGGCCACCTCCGCAGCCTCTGAAGTTTAGATACTTGGAAAATGATTTTTTTTTTTTTTTTTGCGGGGTGGAGAAACTTACTTGGTGTCGTGTAAAGCTTTTAATTGTTCGCCTAACGACACACTCCACGGTGGGTCCGAGTGAGAGTGCCGCGGGTAGGGGGCTTGCTTGTCCTGCACGCTGCCAACCTTGGTTCCCTCCCAGGCATCACATACGGTCCCCTAAGTACTTGGCCAGGAGTTGAGTCCTGAGAACTGCCGAGTGTCATCCCCGCCCTCCCAAGCCAAAAGAAGCACAACTCAAATTATTATTATTATTATCATCATCGGTGGTATTTGGGCCACAGCTGGCTGTGCTCAAGGCTTCCTTCTGACTTATGAGGGACCTTATGAGGTGATGGGGATTGAACCCGGGTAGGCTGAGCGCCAGGCATCGCCTCCCAGCTGTACTATTGTTCTGGCCCCTCGATCCAAATTATCATGATAGAGAAAACTGATTCGGAGCCAGCAAGCATTAGTGAGTTCTAAGTCTAGAAGTGTGGTTTGAAAAGTATCCCTCTTGGGTAGACACCAACTTGGAAATCTCATCTACTTTCTTAGCGTTTGGAGCCCTTGGAGCAGGGACTGATCCACCCAGCCGAATGGGAAGGGCTGCTGGCGGTCAGATCGGGCGCTGCTGGATTTGGGGCTCAAGGGTTCGTCACCGAAGGAAGTTTTAATTCCTTGCACCAGTTTCTTTACATTTTTGTACCAGTTCTGCCTGCCCCCTAAGAGAAGTCTGCAAAGCTGTGTTGAATTCTCGCTGAAATCCCCTTTCTCCCTCCTGAGTTGGTATCCTTGAGAAGTCTTTGCTGAGTATCTTTGTCCTCGTTATTGTGATCCGAGATTCGCCTCGTCCTAGCCAATTTAAAGAAAGCTCCTCCACTTGCAAATATATCTTGTTTTATTCACAGATTTTAGTCATGGCACATCTTATTTTAAATGCATTACAGGATTTTCCTATTTTAAAGCTGTGCTGTAGGGCCTCCATCTGTACGGGAAAGACTCGCCACCTCGTTTATTCTTGTGAGCCCATGTTAATGTCTGTTAGCTTTTTTAAAAAAACGCTTTCTCCCCACATGGCTGGAAGGCAGGGAGTTAGTGTCTTCCTGGAGCCGAAACTGTTTGCACCCTAGCCTCGACCCGAGCTGACTTCCGAGAACCGAGTTGCGGATAGCCAAGTACTGCAGGACCACCCAGTGGGTTTGCTCTTCCCGGCTGCCGCGGCTGCCACCCAGATTTGGGCCTGGCCGGTGTCTCAGACGTGCACAGACATCAAGCAGTCTTCTGGGTCGCGTGTAATTACAGCTCCCATCCATACGTGTAATTCTCGGGCGGGAGAGTCGGTATCTCTTCAGTGGGCTGTCATTATGTGTGTAAGGCACCCATGGGGCCAAGCCTCAGTTTCTCATCGTACGATAGCATTAATCTGCAGATCACATTTAATTGCCATCCTGTTTTCCCCTTCTTAGAATTTGGGGGTGGGGTGGGGTCACCCCAGGTGGTGCTCGCTCTCGGGTGGCCCTGGGCAGTGCTTGGGGTACCGCATGGGTACTGGGGATGGAAGCAGGACTGGCCACTTAGGAGAGCCCCTCCTTTCCCTGCACTGTCTCTGGCCCCCTTGCTCTCTTTAGCATCTGATGGTTTGCACACTCATCGGTACATACAGATTTTCTTTGAGGGGTCACTCAGTTGACGCTGTCGTTTGTGTCATCGTTGGCGCTGAGGATGGAGGGACTGGAGCTTTCTGTGGTCTCCAGCCCCCGTGGCCCTGTGTTGCCTGCCAACTTATAGGATACCTTATGTTTTCTGGAAAATGATACAGTAACAAGGAAAGTAACTAGATCTGGCGCCTTCTGGAGTGAGAAGCTCTTGCTTCGAGGGTGGCTGAGCATGCGTGGCTCGGGGAGCCCCAGACTGGTTTAACCAACCGCCAGCGCTGCCGGCCAGCCTTGCACTTCATGGCAGTTTGCTTCGGGAACGCGACTTGGTGTCTGAGCTGCGGCCATGTCACCCGGGTGATCGTTCCTGTCCCGTCTGCTCACGGGGCTGCCCTGCTGGGGGGCACAGACCTTCTGTCGGGCGACTCAGTGCTGGCCGTCCTGCTGTCTCTGGCCGGCGCTCCCGCTCCCTCACACCTGCCGGTCTGGTGGTGCAGCCGCTGCCGCGCGCCCCCTGCTGGTCTCTGACGCTGCGCGTTCCAGCACCACGAACAGTGCCCGCTGGGGTTGGCCCCAGGGTCGCCCCGCCGCTGCTGCGTGGTTGATTGACTGCTTGGTTTAGACGCAGACTCAGGCGTCTGACTCGGGTTCACGGTCTTGGGGAGTGTTTTTATTTTCAGGGAAATGCTCACATTGCATAATATAGAGGTGTAGATCTTTTTAGCTAGAAAACCAATCTGTTCTTCTGGGGGGAGCCGGGTCCCTCCCCCCCGCCCCGGTGCTGCCGGACTGTACGTGGCGTCCGTGAGCGAGGCGGGTTGGTTGCCTGCAGGACAGGTGCTGTAGCCTGTTCTGAGCGCGACGGCGTGCCCTCAGAGCCAGTGAAGTCGGGGCGCGGAAAGCCGTTGGAGGTCACTGTGTCCCTTAAGAGAGAAAAATCAGACCCTTCAGGATTTCGGCAAAGCCAGGCGCTCCGAAATGGAGGTGGACGGCGGGAGTGGGTGTGTTCTGATTGTTTGGAGGTGGCGCGTGCCTGGTGGCCGTGTTCAGGCCTTGCTCCTGACTCTGCACTCCGCAGTTGCCGTTGGGGGATGCTCGGGGACCAGATGGGATCCAATACGGGTCGGTTGCGTGCAAGGCCAGCACCCTACCCACAGTACTCTCGTATCGGCCAGTATGGGTGGTTTTTCACCCAAGGGACTTGGGCCTCAGGTAGGCAAAGTGGCACCCATAGCTCAGGGACGTTTGTTTGTTTAATTGAGTCACTGTGAGATACATAGGTACAGAGTCAGAGTTGTTCATGATCGAGTTGCAGTCATATGGTGTCCCGACACCCCTCCCTTCACCACTGTATCTGCCCCACCACAAGTGTCCCCAGTCCCCCGCCACAGCCTGACTATGGCAGACACGCACCCCCTTTTCTCTCCTCCCCTCTCTCTTTTTTCCTTTCATGCACTGTGACTTGCAGTACTGTTACTGAAAGGGTATCCTGCCTATCACTGATGATTTTTTTGTATTTTTATCTGCTTCCCTTGAGAGGGTCCAGAACTTACTTGAAGTTAAAAAATCGCCCAGCACCCTTGGTTGCACCTGCGGTTGGTGTCTCTGTTGTCCAGTACCTCCCGGGGGCAGGTCACCCACTCTGGGGAACGCGAGGCCGCACCGAGTCTGTTCCCAAAGGCCCCTCTGCCACCATACGCAGCATGTCCGGTCCTCACGCGGGTGGAGGGGCCCGGGGGACAGTGCTGGCTGCCCCGTTCCCACACGTGTCGCGGTGCCGGGAGTGTGCTCCCCAGCCGCCCGGTCTCGGTGTCATGTGAGCGGGGCGGTGCCGCGTGCCCGTCTGGGGGCAAGTGTGCCAGCTGAGTCCCCGCCTCCAGGAATGGCTGGTGGGAAATGGTGTCCAGCAAGCTTGACCGAGGGGCCAGGCCCTCTGGCCGCTCCCACCTGCGCTGGCTGCAGGCCTGCCCGTTCCACTCCCGCCCAGTCCCCTTGCTAGGGAGCCGTGGCTTCGTGGCTTCAGTGTCCTGTGTTGACCGCGCTTTGTCCCGTCAGCAGCGCTGGCCGGGCTGCCGCTCTCCCGAGGCCTGGTCCTGCGACTCCGACGCTCTCGCGCTGGTGCCTGCAGAGCGTGTGTGGTGCGTGGCCGGTGGTTGCTCCATGTTCCTGCTTGCCTCCCCGGTGACGGGGCACATCTGGCCTCAGGCCTTGCCCCTTCCCCGGAACCCTGTCGTGGCCCGGGAGCTCCCTGCCCGCTTGGGTGTTTGGAGCTGCCCTTCCCCTTCTCGGCCCGGCTGCTGTCCTTCCCCTCAGGGAACTCTCTAGAGCACCGGAGAGCAGCCTCGCCACCCTCTCCTGCAGAGCCCACCCCAATCCCTCCCCGTGTGTTTTCTGTTGGTGCTACTCTG